TATTTTGCGTTTCTTTTTACTTTCTTCTCTGGCTTGGTGTGCTGAGTGGAGTGTGGCGATTCGAACTTCTGCACATCGGTGCAAAGTTCTATGTTGAAACCAGTCAGTCAGTCAGTCAGTCAGTCAGTCAGTCAGTCAGTCAGTCAGTCAGTCAGTCAGTCAGTCAGTCAGTCAGTCAGTCAGTCAGTCAGTCAGTCAGTCAGTCAGTCAGTCAGTCAGTCAGTCAGTCAGTCAGTCAGTCAGTCAGTCAGTCAGTCAGTCAGTCAGTCAGTCAGTCAGTCAGTCAGTCAGTCAGTCAGTCAGTCAGTCAGTCAGTCAGTCAGACATGACCTAAATTAACGAGATATCTCAGTGTGAAGCTAATCATTTACTTGAATTCTGCTCTTCCAGCACTACTTATTGATGATTTGAGAAATAACATCCCCTCTTCCTCTGATACAATTATCTTTCTTCATGTTATATATAAATATATTATCATAGTTTTAAACTCCAACTGTTCTCATCGAAAAATATATACTTCTGTCAATTCGTTTTGTACATGTTCCTCCAAAAAAAAACACAGCCCATCTTACCTTAATCATATGCTCTTGAACGCATTCACAATCACTTGATCCCAAGATACTCAACAATTCATCATCAGAAATGAAAAAGAATCTAGGAAATGCATTCCTTTTTGAATCTAAATAATTATTCAGTGATTTTTGACAACGTTCTAATCCTTCACCAAGTGTAGTTAGTTCATTCAATCTTCCAGGGACTAAACAACATGCTTGTACATTAGGTGATTTATTTGCTTCAATCATAATCTAAAATTTGAATACAAATATATTTTTGGTTACATTTGACATTTTCGAATAAATTCCGGATAAAATTCGAATTTTTAGCTTAGAACGGTCGTTCTGATCAGTTGTCTAAGACAAATAAGTAAAACTTCACAAAAGAAATTTATTTATTTGCTATGGTACCTTCACTTAGTTATTTAGGTGAATAAACGCCAGGTATGTGTATATAGAGCGAGGTAAGTCTGCTCCGAAGACTGGGTAGAAAGAGAACTTCAGGTCATCCCAGATGTTCTTCTAAGCGAAAATGGATGTCCAGAGAAGTATATAAAAGCCAACATAGATTATAATAGTCGCCGACATGGAGTGGCAAACGTGGAGAAAAAGCCATTATTTTTTGGTCTGCAATTCAAGGGAGATACTCCTGAAGAGATCCTATCTCAACGTATAACCAGGGCGATAAAGAAGACTTTCTGCTCTGCATGTAGGTTCCTATCCTTCGGTAGCTGTCTAATGTTTATCCAGAAACTGATGGACATCTTACCTAACCGAAGATCTTCCTCATGTATATATCGTTTCAGCTGTTCCTGTGGTCCGAGTTATATAGGGTGTACGACTAGGTAGGTTCGTCCACAAGTTCCAGAACATTTACCAGCTTGATCCAGTAACGAGTTAATCAAATGCACAGAAAGTTCGATTTCATCACACACACAAGTCAACGCCAACATAGCCTTCAGGGTCATATACTGTATTGTGAAGTTATTGTCATACACAGTTCGCCTACGTCTTCTGTATATCTCTGAAGCTGTTGCAATGAGATCGACTAAAGTGGAACTTTGTATCCAAAAAGAGTGCTTTCAGGCGCTGTTACTACTGTGGTCAAAATTGGATTAATGATTCTTCTTCTCAACAAGAATACCTCTTCCTCTTTATACCCTTCATTCGATCATTCTTCCAATACTATCGAATTTTAAATTTATACTATCCGGACTTAATATTAGTGATATCATCTCTTTTCTCAATATATGCCTCCACCTGTTTCATTCCACACATTGGTTATTTCATGATGAACTTCGCCTTATATTCTTACCATCTCCTACTTATTGCATACTACTTTATGCTAGACACTCTCCTGACACCTTTTATAACCTTGAACTGACTCGTGGGTTTTCCTCTCATACATAGAATGAGTCTGTTCTGACTAATCACCATTATCGTCTCTTATTTCAAAGTACTTTGTAATTCAATTCAGCCTAGGATGTTTGTTACACAAAACTATTTACTTTGTCACCCTATAACTAATCTATTATTCCATGTAAAAATACATCCGCTGCATAACTGGCCAGCATTGTAACGATGACAAATATTATATTTGATAAGTGTAAGAACCTGAAGAGAATTCACTGAAAAGAATATTCTTAGTTCAGACTAACTTCTAATTCATAATATGGGAATATTTCACATCGCTTAGTTTAAGTTGATCCAGTCGGTAGACGTTCTAATGTCATACTAGGAAGCATCATTATAAATACATGCAGGCTGTGGAGAGAAGGGATTCTTGACCATCATAATCAGCTGTATTATTAACATTTCATGTAGTGATAATTCAATTTCGCATTAACTATTGCTGAAGAATCTTATAATAAATTCGTATATATATATATATATAGTGTTAGTGGCTCACTAGTGAAATGCTGGTCAGCTATGCAAGAAGTCCTGGATAGCTTTTTGGCCGACGTACTCCTCCTAAACCTTGCGTAGCTGGTAGTACATCCGGCAGTGAGAGAAGATCCGGTGTATGGTCAAATATCCTGACCCGTAAGAAAAATCGCTACTGCTACTGAAATTTCATAGCTCAAGCTTATTGCCCTATTTTCTATTCGAAACGTAGAGAAGTGAAAAAGGAAAGAAGAATAAAAGTTCCTTCCAGCAAGCATGAAGTCTAGGTTCAAGGCTTCCTGCCGACTGCCTCCAGCTGTCTAACAACAATTCAGTGTGCACGGTGATGTCAAGCCGCCTAGCATGGCGGCAATAGGGACTAGACGCATGACATTAGTTACTGCCTAGTATCTAATCAAGGCCTAATGTACCTTAGATGAGCCTCTTCTACCACAATTTCGACTTTATCTTTCAACACTACTCATACTCATGACAAAGACGAAGTCTTAGTACACTTCTAGATCATTATTAAATTTGTCCCCAAAATGATGAAGTGCTAAAAAAGATAACTTTATGAGAGCATTAGTTACACTCATAGAAAGTGAGTAGTCTTCATTTATCAATGTTAACTGATAGATTAAAAAAATAATAATAAAATTACAATTACCTTTTTAAAGATTTTATCAATATTGTCAAATTTTGTCGCCTCTTCTGGTAACTGTGAGCGTATATCACCACCGATGAATATGCCTTCAAGATACATCCATTTACGTTGAACAACTAACCATACTTCAATTATTTCACTGATTACACTTAAATTTTTCTCCCATAATTGTACAGTAGACAGAAATGGACCAACAAATTTACTGGATGCCATTGATTGTAAATTCATTGAATTATCTTCAAGTATTTGAACTATATCATCTAAAGCTCCTAGAACATAACCTCTATTCTGACCTGCTTTCACATAACTAACTACATTGAAGTTAAGATTTTGCCATGTTTCTTCGACTTCTTTAACACCCTGTTTGAAAGAAACGGGTTAATAATAATTTTCGTAAAAAACTCATATGATATAGTTAGCCTACTTATAAGTAGTCAAATTATTAGATTGAATTTGCGAAGTAAAATACTTTAACCAAATACTTATTTATCGTGGTAATGTACCCGTAAATCACAAAACCAAATGCGTTCATAAGAGGTTACAGTTTATCGTAAATTATTTGATTCTTCGATAAGTGTCAAATAGTAAAAACTGCCAGTGTTGGTATTAGGTAGTAGTAGTAGTAGTAGTAGTAGTAGTAGATAAGATTTATCAGTAGTATATGTAAGAGACGTTCATCGGCACAAGGGACATCAAATAACAGGGATATCAGAGAAAGTAAGCAAAACAGTGTTGTAGAGATACGTGGGAGACGTGAAAGGGACACAAAGAAAAACGATAAGAAGGCCAGAAGTAGCACAACACGAAAGATCTGTGCAAATAGTGTTCGTAATTTGGCTATGTAGAGATACCAAAGTGCAAATAAATATTCCTTTACTGAGTTTTTTGTCTTCAACCGGTACAGTAGTGCTATGTTTGACTAGATTGTGACACATTTATGTGCTTTAAGTTAAACAGAAGTATGCGCATTACCCTTTTTTGGTTTATAATGGCCGATGCTGAAATTGATCACTTGTCTGATGGTGACCAGCAGCAGATGCCCTTTTCATTCAGTCAGTTGGTAATCACAAGTACAAATCATATTAGTTGGACAATAAATGGATCCAACGGTTTAACAGCCTATTGGATAACACTTCGGTATAGGAGACGATGGGTGTTAGGTTCAAGCACCAGTGGAGATACAGTCACTTACTGGGATACACTTGCATCTACAAAACAAGTCCTAGGTGGGAAAAAAATTTACATCCAGGATACCCTAATCATCCTTCATCAATCTGAAATCAGCATAAAGAGAGTAGTTTGAATTTCAACACCAGTGTTAAGTCATTTTTTCTAAATGGATCAGAAACTTGGTGTGTATGTCTATTATGAAGAGCCGCCTTCGCTTGCTCCATATTGACGATTAGTGGGCCGGCCAACAACAAGAAACTCTGGGAATGGATCAATCAATAACCTTTTACTCAACATATATGCCAAAGAAAGTGGAGATGGATAGGAAACACGCAGAAAATACCGTTAGATTACATGACGCGCCAATGGGAAAGAGCGAGTTGGGCGTGAACCTGAGGATAACCTGAGGATATGAAAGCTTATGGACAGTTGTAGGGACAACTTAAGAAGAGGGTATTGAACACGGTGTAATGGAGGTGTGCTGTGTAGCCCTAAGGGAATAATAGTGACAATAGACTTCATTGTCAGCTACCACAGAGAGGAAAGCTTCAAGTTAGAAATAAAGGGATATTGGGGTATCTATTGAAGCGGCCAATGAACTATCAAGAAGAGGATTTAGAAAGTTTAGAAATATAAACGGGAAATTAAAAGTATAAGATGTGTTCACTATTTCCACAGGAGTTGAATCAAATACCTTCAATGGATAAATTTTATCTGCACAAATTTCTGTCACTTATCTCTAACTACCTATCAGATTCCAAAATAGCTCAGCTTTACTGCAGTATCAAATATGGTCGGAACTATGAACTGGATAACACAGTAATAATAGATTTAACAGATAGTGGTTGATCACGAGTTTGGAAGTTGGGCTACAGCAAGAATCCAACTAAGAGAGGCTATCTTAGGAGGTCACTGTGGCAGGAGATACTGCTACTGACTAGAATATCATCGCACTGCAATCACCAAGAGTTTGGCTTATTTACATTACCATATAATAGTGATTATATATTACAACATAATCAGAATAAAAATCACTCTGACAGTTATTCCCAGTCAGTCATACGTCTCATACCTTTTCAATACTTAATTCTTTGATTGCAAATGCAACAATTTCAGAAATTTGATCTACAAATCGATGCAACTCCATAGCAAAAATATTAGCTAGTGTAAATGTCTCTGGATTCATGTCGAATGTTTGTTCTGTTCTCCTCATCAATTCATTCCAATGTCTATTAAAAATAGCAATGAAAAGAAAACAGAGAGTATACGAAATAACTTAGGTTATTTTAATTGAGTGGATTATAATTTACCGTCAGATAAGGAGTTCACGACAGTATTTATTACAGCAATGCAATTCAGAGGTCTGGTATAGATTTATGCATAAGGTTACTGGCCACAGTGCAGATTTAGATACCTATGAGATGATTGTCTAACTCACGTCTGTTTGTGACAAAATCCATATCGAAATCTCAGTTTCGTCGTCGAACACTTTTAGAATCAATTTAACTGACTGCACCTGGATCATACTGTCATCAAACTGTGTCCACAGACTGAGAGTAGCAACACATAACTTACCACTAATCTACTGTAGTTGAAGCTGTCACATCTCATGTCTGTATCAAGCAGAAAGTAGTAGAAAGAACTAACCGAAATGCAAATGCTATAGGACAAGAGAGGCAGGAGAAACAGGAATGCTTCTTCCATGTAAGTATTCTTCTCAAAGTCATTTATCGAACATACATCGGACAAACATCTCGAGAAATCAAAATCAGAAGAGATGAACACCGTAGAGCTGTATCTGTTCGACTAACCACGAAGAAATCCAGTTAAACTCGAAAAGCTTGAAAAATCATCAGCTATAGAATCAGGCCACAAAATTCATTTTGACAATATTGAAATAATCCAGAAAAGTTTCAGAAATTACGAAGAACCTCTAATATCAGAAGCACTTCATATCAAATGGAATCCAAATTGTCCGAATAGGAATGATGGACTAAAACAGAATTTGACCTGGTTACAAAATCCCCTCCCCCAGGAAGTGACAAAATCAACACGAATTTGATGAGCAATTTCATTATGTAAACACATGATGCTTTTATAAGTTTACGCACTTATCAAATCCAACAATCTACACATGATGGTTTTGTTATCTTTACCGATTGGCCAATTTGACATACAAAAATGAGCACATGTTGAGGAACGATGATTAAGTTGTTATATATAAGCTGAGTGGATTTTGTAAATTCTGGTTTAGTAGTACTACTTGGATAAAGCTATTAGCAGCAGCATGAAATATCGAAACGTCAGTAAAACCAACAATATCGTTTTGTTTTTCATTCATTGGGAAATACAAAACACCTTTATTATAATGAAAATTTTTATTTCCACTAACCTTTCTCTAAGCGCTTCGTTTTTCAAATCTGTAAATAGAGGGAGTGAATCACGAAAAGTACGAATCTGTTCAAATATCGCACGTCCAATTGGTGATGTTCTTACAGGTTTTGGTAGATTACGTAAATCTTTCAAGTACTTTTCAATACCATTTTGTAAAAGTGTTATATTTAAATCTTTCCAAAGTATTTGTGACCATTCTTCACGAGCTTGCTAAAATAGTGTTAATAACAAGAATATGTTAAAATATACAAACATTAAATTCACTTATAAACTGCAAATAAATAATTAACATCGAAAAGGACTAGATCATGCTATCGTCTCAGTTGTTTTAGTGGTGAGATAGACGGACAGATCCACAGTTTAGGGTAGCCACAAATTTCAACCAATTAAGGTAGAAGAGTTTCCTGATAGTTGTGTGCGCCTCTTGTTGATTTATGCTAGTAAATACGAAACCTCCATCGAAATAAACTTTTCCAGCTATACAACTTCAAATATACTGCGACTTTAACATGTATCTTCATTAAAAAGTAGTAATACCTAACTTACGTTTGTAATATGAATAGAAGAGACTAACAGATCCGTATGTGATACAAAGTTTCTTTTATTTCTTTGCATTCTGAGTGGAACATAGGCCTTCAGGCTTGAGCTATGAAACTTCAATAACAGTTGTTATGGAGACATTTATTTCCCGATACGAATTTATAACAAGCGACAAGGGTTAATAAAGCAGAATTTAATGAATTCATCAAATTTTGGTAGAACTCTTCAGCTGAATACTCTACATACAGGGATATATGTATACTATTGGAAATACATTGGAAGAAATAAGATTGATAAGTACAAATAAACTACATTGAATTAATCACGCAAAACGATAGGTGTGAATGTTTTTCAGGTCATGCCTAAATAAATTGTCTACTAGCATGATGGCGCATCTCGTCAAGGTGGTTGAAAACAGCTGAATTCTAAGTACAAAAGGGTCAATAACAAAGCATCTTGTGGACTACGGACTTGATATCAGTGCTGTCAAGTCATTCACTGTTGTCAGTAAACAGAGACTCAGGAAGATGCTTGCAATTGCAGAGACTTATGCGATTTGAGTTGATAAACCAGGTCTCTGTGTACACAAAAAGTGGTCGTGGTAATAAGTCTTACTTATTACTATTTTTATTTATATTTTATTCTACCTCTAATTATTACTGATTCATTTAAAACTATCTTTTATCAGTAGCATTATCTTAAGTCGTTTCAGCATTATTATTATTATTATTATAACTATTACTATTAATATTACTCAGTTCGCAATTCTTGATATATTTAAGTTCTTTCTCTAATGACTAATTGTTTATCTAAGATATGTAACTGAAGCGTAATACATTTTATCTAAATTTTAATCCCTCACACTCCCTTCTCCTGATCTGCATGAACATGACCTGAAAAACATTCACACCTATCGTTTTGCATGATTAATTCAATGTGATTTATTTGATTATCAATCTTATATCTCCCAATGTATTTCCAACAGTATATATATGTATGTAGAGTATTCAGCTGAAGAGTTCTACTGCAATCAGATGAATTCATTAAATGCCGCTTTATTAACCTTTGTTGCTTGTTTTAAAATAGTGGTTTCATTTTTGCAGGATGGGGCTGATAGCGTCACGCCCAATTATCTGTCTTTACTGGGCCTGCTACTGGCTTAGAGAGGTTTAAGAGAATTTCAACCAGGGATCGAATCCCAGACCATGTGAATGATTGGTAAGCATTCTATCGCTGATTCGCCAACTCACGTAAAACAAAGGGAAGTCTTGAAATTTAGAAACAAGACTTAATAAGAAAACGTCAATTTGTGGAACGATGAAATTGTAACATATAAAACCTCTTCTCAGTGATATAATGTCAAAGAGTCTATCTGCATACAAGTTTTACTTTTAAAAGTTGATTTTAAATCTAGAAAAGTCAGGTTTTATCCAGTTTCTATCGAAGTTGGGAAGACAGTAGAAACAAACCAGAGCAAATTGAAGTAAATAACTGTGAGATATTGATAGGAAAATTTGAACAATATGAATATTAATCGAATTGATTGCAGTATATTAAAATAAACGAAAGAAGAGACTGAGAAATTTTACAGCAAATTTGCTTTAAGAGGAAATATACCATTCTAATACTAAGAGAAAGAGAAAGAAGCAGGTTAAATATATATGCAGATGATCACATTGGATAAACATCAAGTGACGAATACTCACAGATTCCATAGTTGTGAACATGCATACACTTCTGATGAAGTTTATTCAAACTTCTTAGATTATGTTACCATTATTTTCTGGATTTAACCGGTAAAGATAAGCTGTAAGACATTCTTAAGTCGAAGTGGTGTAAAAACAAATATACTGTAGACACCTTTAAGGGGTAAATATCCAGAAAAGAATATATAAATTATTATCAAGACACATAAGGTCTTTCCGTTGTGGATAAAATTTATTTTGACGTTCAATAACTATCTTATAAAATTTATTAGAAAAATCAGAAAAGGTTAATAGCAAAATAAAAATAATAGTGAAATTGATTATGACAACATAAATAAGAGAGAATATAAGTCATCTACAGTTATACCATATAAAAAGGGACATCTGAGACCCCACGTGGTAGGATTCTTAATAAAGAGGGAATTAGGGTGGCATTTAAACCTGGAAACTAACTCAGGAATAAACTCTGTAGGTTAAAAGACACTGCCGGTTGACCCAGTTAGACAAAATATAATTTTAAAAAATATCTTGCAACGACCGTGAGTTAAGTCAACTACATAGGTCAAACTGGTAGATCTGTGGTAGTCAGATTGTCTGTCAGAACGTACGAATTTAGCTTAGGTAAGAATGATTGACCCCACCTACAAAGATAAGTAATTTGGAAGAAAGCTCATCACCATATTGGACTGTATGCATTAACACACAACCACAGAATAGGGTGGGATAGAGTCGAAATTCTATATAGGTAGGGGGAGAGAAAGAGATTGATTACTGAATCCTTGTTCATCGAATAATCTGCACCCAACACATGCAGTAGGAATGACTCATCACTCATACCGGAAATATGGAAAATACTTCTACCAATCAAATCAAGAGATTAGAAATAGTGGAATTATGTAACCGAAGTTGGAAATTTGTGTGAGTAGTGCCTTGATGTGATTATGAGTGGTCGCAAATTGTGTTCGAAACGTCATCATCAAATATTACTGAACAGCACTGTGTGATTTATCAAAATAAGATCTTATCCATAATGGAATTATACTCTACCACAGTGCCCAAGTTTTATACTGATATCAATAGATCCTCTTTATATACTATCCTAAAAAAATAAACTTTAGATTCATTTTTTATGTAAACAAAATGAATACTGTTATAATGCCTTCTTAGTTATTGAAATAATAAGATTTATAACTATTCATATTATTATTCTCTTAGTTTCCAAGTGGCATGTGATGTCATTCAATGGTCTCTCCAGTGTATGTCCAGTCCAATTCCACTTCCTTTTGCCCAGTCGTTGATTATATAAGTGAACAGAAGTCAATTAATGAAGCCATAGCAAAAGCTTAGGGTGAATCCATAGGATGATAAACGATTACAATAGAAATATCAATTATAAAGAATAATAATCATAGGATTATGAAGCCAACTAGGTGAAAAGGAGTGCAGAGGGCAGAGAAGAGATTGTTAAGGTTGCCTGGTGGCTTTGATATCCCCATCCGTACAGCCTGTCATTGAAACGATGCTGCCCAAACAAGTGAAAGAAGTGACCTTCTTGAGAATTTCTCCCGGTAGACAGTAACTTATGCTTAGTGTTGGTGCTGTTGGTTATGTGTCTTCATTGCCACTGTCTTCTCCATGTTTACTTGAAGTCCTGCATTCGCTGTTTCTTTCGTTAGCTTGACGGTTTTTTCATGTAGATCTTCGAGACTGTTTGACATTAGATAAAAATCATCCGCTATGTCCAGATGGTCCAGTGTCTTCTTGTTGGTCTAACATATGCCCGTCTTAATAAGACTGCTTTGGAGCTAGGTGGATTAGTTGTTCAATGTGTATCCTGTCCAGGAACACCATCTCGCCTGGTTGTAAAAGGGTGGTAGTGGCTGTGTGAGGAGCGCGATCATCGAACACTTTGTCAACACTGGTCATTCCATCTCGACAAACGCTTCCTTCAAAGTCACCTACAAAGCGAAGAATAACCCACCGAAGCCAATACGCTTTCGTCTCCCTTGTATTGCTGAAGTCTTAACCATTCAGTTGGAAAAGCCAGAGTTATGTATACGAAAGAAAATTATTCAACCACTTCTACTATCATGGCATCAACCGTGTTAATTTCTAGTCACTTGGTGTTTGTGTGCCTGCTTTTCTAACTCCTTATAACTTTTGTATTTCTTCACAACTCATGCATAATTCTACATTTTCCTTAGTTTATCTGTACATCCTAATCAAAACTCACTTAATAAAATATTCATCTCGTTACGCAGCCCTAATGGACTTATTCAACTTCTTTTATGCATTATAATAAAGGTTTTTGTATTTCCCAATGAATGAAAAACAAAACGATATTGTTTTTACTGACGTTTCGCTATTTAATGCTAATAGCTTTATCAAAGTATTATATAATATCTTTGATGACTAACAGTGACAACTGTTTTTGAAAACTCATCACCAATACCCACATACTGATCTTCACCACCTTAGTTACAGTTTGATTATTCATCACATTTTGATGACCTAGACAACAACCCTAACTAGTTTTTATTCTTGTCTGATAAGGCTAATGTACACACACACAAATAAATTATATGTAATTATGATTGTACAGCTAAGTGAATGAATTGGCCGAAAAGATACTGTGGTGAGAGCTGTCTGCTAGACAAAATTGGTAGACAGCAATTTACGTCAATGTTTACGTCCCAAATCTTGGTCATGAGAAAAGAACAAGAACAAAGATTAACTCAAAAAACAGTAACAGCAAACATTGCGTGGGCAGATGCAATTCGCAGATATATGGTCTGACCTTAAAAGAAATGGCCACAAAGTGATGACAGATTATAGGTTTCCAGGCCATAGGTGTTACACACCTCCTGGAATAATTTGAGCGCCGAGTTAGATTGATTCATTATAAATTATTTAAATTAATCCCAGCGTGTTAAGAAAATCAAAACAAGATTTTTCTGAACGTTTCTCTGTGTAAGCCACAGCTTCTTCAGCAGATTTATTCGGATTTTTATTATGATGACAGATTAACTTTCAGCGAGAAAACAACCAATCAGAAGACTCTGTTTGCCTGCTAACAATAACCTATAATAATGTACATGAAAATATGTAAATATCTCTTGATTTCCTCAATAATCGATCTGTTGCCTGACCCTTGTCTTCGGTCGTTACAATACTCCTCGCTGAACTACGTGTTTTGTTTTTCATTAATGTTTGGATGGAGGGCCAAGCTGAACTTTAAGCACCACTAACTGCCAATCAGCGAATAACCTCGAATGGTCCATTGACGTTCATCCAAGTGAGTTCACGGTTGTCTTCAGCTTGATTCGCGTCAAATGCCTGCTCTAACGAAAGTTACGCTTGCAGTTCGATGAGGATAAGGTTTTGCAGTATTGCCTGGATTTGGGGTTGCTTAAGAAGGAGAGGACTTGTTCATGTGGAGTTTAAAAAGCTTCAGCAGGTCGATTGATGGAAATGTCCATCGTTGTGCAATTTGCTTGAGACGAGTTAGTATTATGGAAGGTAAGCTGATGATTTTAATATTTCATAGGAACATTTTTTGCTAGGTTGCATCTCTCCATAACCCAGATTTTGTATATTTGTAATTACTGGGTTTTAAAACAGCCTGTGAAAGGCGCAGCCGCATGAAACTGAAAATAGCTTCGTGTCAACAGTTCAGTGGCACCAGCACTGCAGAGACATCGCATCATGGAAAATGGAGAGAATTACTTCGTTGTTAGGTGGAGAAGGTGTCATCGTACACGTGGACGGAACTGTCTTATTGAGGAAAAAAACAACCATGGTCGTGAGCGAGCTAACAATGTTTGGGTAATTGGTTTATATGACACTTTCCTGCGGAAAGGATTCGTGGAGAGAATAGCAGACAGGAAGTCTACTGCCTTAGTTCCTACTGTCACACGATTGGTGAAACAGGGATCTATAGTACATACCGATGAATGGAAAGGTTATAACTCGCTGTCATTCCTGGGGTATATTTATCACAGAGTGAACCACTCGAGTGATTTTTTGGATCCCACCCATCACAGGGAAACACAGGAATTCTAAAGAAGGATTTTAGGGAAGATTACAAAAATAGGATTAGGGCCATTAATGAATCTAAAAAGGACGTCATTTATAGTCATTTAGATGAATATATGTATAAAATGTGGTGTAACTTTTCAGTTGACACTCCTATGATAAACTGGAAGATGTTTTTATCACATGTGAGCGAAAGGTATCCTATGTAATAGTTTAATGCAGATTTTATGCATTTTTTTCCATAAATATACGTTTTCTATAACCAAAAATCCCTCTTCAATGTGACTGGTTCGTTGAAGGTCATTCGCAGATTGGTAGTTGGTGGTGCTTAAAGTTTAACTTTGCCGGATGGAGATTATTCATCAATTAAGAAAATACTCAAAAATTAAATATTTCTCTCCCTCTTGTATCAAAATGAGGTAATTAAATCAACATGAATAATAATAATAATTGGATCCCGCTTACCTTTTGTTTTAAGTAGATATTGAATAACTGATCTAATCCACTTAACTCTTTTTGAATATTTATAATTTGTGGATATTGTGTTAATGGAAGATTGAAAAGTTTTTCTGCTGATGCCAGTTCTTTTCTGTTAGCTTCTATTTCATTCAACTGTACATGATATTCCTAATTTAAGAAAAAGAAAAAGTAAATTGAAAGCAGAGATTTATTGATTTATTTATAATTTTATTCCTTTACGTTCCCAGTGGAACATAGGACTTTAAGCTAGAGCTTTGAAGTTTCAGTAGCAGTGGGTTGTTAGCATCATACCTGGCTTAGCGAGGCAAAGGGGTGCGTCGGCCGGGGATCGAACGTTGGACCACATGCGTTGTTAGTGAGTAATCTACCGCTGTACCACCATCGACACACTTTGAAAGCGGAGAAGTCAATTAATACTGTCCCCGTCTTACATTCATTATTTTCTTTACAAAAATATGAAAAGCTATTTAGAGAACATTTTAAAAGACAAGGAATGTATTCATATATTTATACAGATTAAGAAGGTATCGCTCGACACTGAAAATTACTTAGCCGACAGGAAATAATCAGTAACAAGAAACTCTGGGGACGGTCTAAACTAGAACCTACAGCTCAACAGACACACAGAAGGAAACGGAGATGAATCGAATACATAATGAGGAGACCGTTGGGTGCATTCACGCATCAAGCTATTGCTCGAGTGAAACCTGAAAGGGAAGTAATGAGTTGGGCGTCCGAAGGTAACACGGAGAAGACAGCAGGGAATAGGATGCTATGGAGATGATTTGTTCCACTTGGAACCCAATAGAATAGTTATAATAATAACGATAATAATAGGAATTAGAAATAATTATTACAAGCTGATCAAAGACTTAGTTGCCACACAGTCACTTTATACATTTTAAGATGTACAGACTCATCCTATAAAGTGCTGGGCTGTTCACAAGAACAGCTAGGTTCTATATTCACAACTGAAGAGGTTTTCAGCTGTTCAACTACAGCCTCATCATTGATATAAGATCGAGCAGTAGCACTAAGTAGTACAACAAAAGATCTAAATGATGAAATGTAAAAGATAGAAGAAGACGTTGGTGTCAAATAACTATCCTATTTAATTCATTAGGAAGATCAGAAAAGATTAAAATAAAAGTAATGGGGAAACTAATAATGATAACATAAATAAGAGAGAATATAAGGCATCTACAGTTTTACCATATAAGGAGGGGACATCTGAAACCATACTTGGTAGGATTCTCAATAAAGCAGGAATTAGGGTGGCACTCAAACCTACAAACTCACTCAGGCAGGGACAAGCTCTGTAGGTTAAAGGACCCCGTAGGTTGACCCAATTAGACAAAATAATGTAATTTACGAAATACCTTGCAATGACTGTGAGTTAAGTCAACTACATAGGTCAAACTAGTAGATCGGGGGTAGTCAGATTGCCTGTCAGAACATAAGAATTTAGCTAAGGTAAGAATGGTTGACCCCACCCGCGAAGATAAGTAATTTAGAAAAAAGCTCAGCGATTGCACTGCATGCATTAACACACAACCACACAATAGGGTGGGTTGGAGTCGAAATTCTAAAAAGTAATATAGGTAGGTAGAGAGAGATAGAGGTTGATTACTGAACCCTTGTTCATCGAATAATCTACACCCAACACGTACAATAGGAATGATTCATCACTCATACTGGAAATATGGAAAATACTACTACCAATCAAGTCAAGCGATGAAAAATAATGGAATTATATAAACGAAGTTGGAAAGTTGTGTGAGTAGTGCCTTGATATGATTATGAGTGGTCATAAATTGTTCTCGAAACGTCATCAGTAAATATGCAGTATTTTTCAGCTCTACAGTACCCCACTTTAAGGGGAATATTTTGAACCGATGAGTGATTCTACATTACAAGAATTTAATAAACACAATAATAACTGAAAATAAAAGATATTTTTTAAAAAAGTATTTCATTTGAAAAATTACCTTAGCAACTGCTACTGCTGCGTCTAAATCATTTAACATTGTAGCCGGTCCAAATTCTTTAAAACGTGTTTCAAAATCAACAACTAACTTATTAAAGTTTTCAATATCTTCTAAAGTGATTTTAGCAAATTTGCCTTTTACACGACTCAGTGTGCCTTCTTTATGATTTGCAGACTTCAACAGTTGTATCCATGTAGGTCTTAGATTGTTCACTGATTCTATTTCACTATCTGGTACAGGTAGTTTATGATATTCGAGTAGACGATAACACTCTTCACAGATGATTAATTTTTCTTCTATTTCTAAAGTTGATAAGCGTACTTCAAAGATTGTACGTAGAGTATCTTTTAATTCGATTAAATTTGTTGGTACATCTTCAAGTTCTTCAAATCGATGCTGAATACAGAAAATGAGGAAAATCAAATAGAGAAGAATAATTGAATTGAATAAGAAGTACATTTCAGTTTTCAGCAAATGAATGTGTCACAGGGACTTTGTTTTCTACTCCCAAGCTATTAGTTATACTTTGTCAATGGAGTCGTATGATATACCAATCTGTTGCTGAGATGAACAACCCAATTGCTTAAGTCCATGAGTCCCCCCCTTCTAAGTAAATGTCATAGTATTAGTATTCTTACCTAAGTGGAATCGAATTCATGACAAGTTCCACATTTGGAATTCATTGATTAAACTTCCTTTGCATCACAGGTTGCTTCTCAGATCTAACCATCATCATGGCTGTGAGACCTGGCCATTGAGAGTGGAAGACATGAAAAGATTAGCTGTCTTTGATCATAGGTGTCTGCGTTCTATCTCCCGCGTGAAGTGGTATAATAAGGTGAGCAATATTGAGGTTAGGCGTCGAGTGCTAGGTAAGGCGGCGAAATCAATCGACGAGACTGTGAAATTACATCGACTGAGATGGTTAAGACATGTGTTACGTATGTCTAGTCATCGCCTTCCTCAACGGGCAATGTTAACTGATATAGGGCCAGGCTGGAAAAGAGCCATTGGCGGTCAAACGAAAACATGGCACCAGCCAATGAAATCTACAACAGTTAGTCTAAGTCACGTAGGAAGGTGTAGACTTCCTGGTTGGGGTCCGCGGGACGGTAAAAACCAATGGTTGGAAACAATTGGTGACATGGCTCAAAATCGTTCTCAGTGGCGCAGATGCATCCACTCCTTGTGATTTATGATTTCCAATTAAACTGTTTTGTTCTTCGTTATTACTATACCTTTGTCTCACACCTCTGTTTACTGTCTCTAATATGCATTTCTCCTACTTTCTTCTCTTGCTTTGTGTGCCACATGGAGTGTGGCGACTTGAACTGCCGCACATATGTGCAAAGTTTTATGTCGAAAACAAACAGACAGACAACCATCATCATTATCTATCACTAACTGGCTGCGTAACCTGAGGGCACCTGGTCAGATCCCCGGTGGTTTCATGACTGAACACTGTTAAAGAATCACAAACTAAGATAAAGCAGATGTCCAGGACCTCTTGGTTTTCAGTGATTCTCTAACCGACGTTGGTTAGTGAAAAAATCTAAGCTGACATTATCTAACTGTAAAAATACAATAACTGGGTTCTTTGAATACTTACAACTTAAAATCGGCAAACGAATTCCTTTCCACTTAAATGCCGACCGACTGTAAAGAGATGATGATATAATAATGGAAAATACCCACAAAAGCATTTAAAAATTGATTCCTAAGTTCCGTGTGGTGGCGAAAATATGCAGCTCTGATTGTAGATCTCTTGGGAAATGTCATGTCTTCCCAACTTGGATGCTTTTCCTTGTAAATTAGGAATGAAGATTACGCTTAGACTGACAGCGAAATCTTCACTACAAGATGTACTAGCTTGGAAAGCAACAAGACTTTAAGAAATTCATTTCATATCGAGTTACGTAGGTAGGTATCGGCATAAAGAACGGCTGATGGGATATTCTGACTGAAATAACTTTATACAAGCAGAAGTTAGTAACAAATATATTTTTCAAGGTTGACCATGGGATGATATTAGTTAGAGGCCCACTGAAAACCAGGCGCTGCTGCAGAGCTGTTTCATCCTAGTTCGCGACTCATCGGTAGTACGCACCCACCGGGGTTTCCAAATTAGGTCAAAACAGCAATCCAATACTCTCTCTCCTCGACACTTCAAACTGCGTATATCAGTTTGAGTGTGTTTGTGGAAGCAAATACATAGGTCGTACGGAAAGGCGATTGTCTACTCGCATGATGGAGCATTTGCCAAAATGGTTGAAAACAGGTGAGTGCAAAGTGCCAAAATCCTCAATAACAAAACATCTTGTGGATTATGGACATGATATCGACGCGGTCAAGTCATTCACTATTGTCAGCAGACAAATAAACAAGAAGATGCTTGCAATTGCAGAGGCTTGTGCAATTCGAGTTTATAAACCAGGTCTCTGTTTACAAAAGGGGATGGTCGTGACTCTGAATCTACCATGGTAATACGTTTTACTTATTATTCTACCCATTATAATTATTATTACTATCATTATTATTAGTCTTGATTCATTTAAAACTATCCTTTATCAGTAGGACTATCTTAACTCACTTCAACACTATTATTATTATTGTTATTATAACTATTACTATTGATATTACTCTGTTTGCAATTCTTGTTATATTCTCTAATGTCTAATTGCTTATCTAAGTGATTCTAATTTACAAAAAGCCTGAAGAGTGCACTCACAGATGCATATAATACCTTCAAGTTTCTGATCGTCCTGTAGATGATGTCTTTGCATGTTGAAGACAACTTTAGACCAATTAGTTTCTATTCCAATTCGTCAAGGTTTTAAAAAAATTATCAACTAGCCAGTGGAATTAACGAAATCCAATTTGTGGTTTGTAACCCACAGATGACACTGTCTGGTGGTCACCTTAAACCAAGATCTAATATAAGTGGGAATGCACAGTCAGCTTAATTTCGAAGAGGTTACCTTGTGAGAAAAAACAATGGACTTGGCTTTGTGGTGTTTACTTAATTAGCAGTTCTATCCACCTATGAAACACCTACCCAGTGACCTTTGGTTTTCGATGGGCCTCTTGTAGATCCTTATTTCAGTCTGAATAAGATAAAAGGATTTCTTAGTCACCTTTCATTATGTAAACATGAAACAAAAGGGGAAAGTTTAAATAATTACTTTAAATTCTTCATTTAAACTGGTCAATATTTCTTTGCCAATATCATGTAGCTGTTTTCCATAGGCTTTTGTCCATTTCCTGTTATGTTCACGTATATTATGCATTAGGCCTTTCAATCGTAATTGTATGCAGCCAATATTAATATTTTCTGGTGTTTCACACAAATCATTCAGTTTTGTATTCATATCTAGAATTTTCTCATGGATTTCAATCGCTGTACGTGGAGTCTCCATCCATTTTTCCACTTGAGCTAACTAATAAGTAATAATAGGAAGTAATTGAAGATGAATTAAGCATTGTATATGATACTTTGATCGAAAATGGCTATCCCGACAAATTTATCAAGAAACGCATGACAAAGAAAGCGGAAAAGGACTACTCACTCTCCGTAAACAAGAAGCCTTTATATATATACGACTACAATTCATGGGTGATGTACTAAACGAGAAAATTACGAAGAAATTAAGAAAATCAGTTCAAAGAACTTTTAATGCTGGCGAACTACACGTATTATTCTCTACACGACCGATGGTGCTACCTCGACTGAAAGATGAAGTACCTACATTAGCCACTTCAAATTGTATCTATCAATTCAACTGCTCTTGTGGAGCGAGTTATATTGGCCGCTGCTCTAGGAACTTGATTTTTCGTGCTCGACAACATATCCCACTATGGCTAAGTAAAGGTGTAGATAAAACTATTAACAGCTCGATATTAGACCATCTGGTGCAAACCGGTCACAAAGCCAGCGTAGAAGAATCCTTCTCTATAATATACCTGGTGCCTAACAAATTACCAAAATCGCAAAAGCACCGCATGCTCCAAACAGCAGAGGCTATTGCAATTCGCCTCAAACAACCAGTGCTCTGTGTGCGAAAGAAGCAAGTCCAGGCCCTACTACTGACCTGGCTGGCTTTCAGTAGAGACTATAAATTCATGAATTTGTACTATTACCTTTCCTAATTTACCTTTCTGACATTCAGTTTATTTTATGTTGATGCTGTTCAGCTGTAATTTATCAATATTATTGATTCGATGTTATTTAAACATTAATGTCGTTCATAACACTAATTCATTCATTCACTATAATGTATATATAACTGTAGAGCCTGATGATGAATTTATCGGAAAGAGTACTCTTTGTTCAGTATCCATTCTTTTAATAAGGGATATAAAAAACGCAAACAGACATTTATGAAAATGGAGGGCAGGAAGACATTTCACCTAGAACTGTGCAAACTGAAAATTAATTTGTGAAATTTCAAATTTGATTTATGCTATCACCAGTTCGCCCAAGTAGCCAGCTGGCCAGAAATCGAGTGGTTTAAAGTGATTTGACTCTCTGAGCTGAGTCACACAAAGGGTACACTGCTGACAGAGCATGGTAGAAGACGAGATAAACAGAGATCCGGTGCTTCGATCACTTTGATTATGAGTGGTTTGGCCCTACTTATTTCTGTCAATCAGTAGTATGTATTTTTATGCAGAAAAAGTGATTAGTCAATACTTTTATTTGGGTTGTAGACAAGTTGAGCCTCCCAGGGAGATCATGTGACCACGGAGCTGACCTATAAAGATTGAAGATTACAGAGTAAAAGGGGAAATGTTCAGCTGAAACCTTATATTCTACTCGGGACCCAGGGGAATAGTAATTATAAGGAACAAAATATCCCTAACACTTAATAGGTCATACTATTTGCGAATAATACATTCAATGGAAAGCTGTTGATTTTACTTATTTTAATTGCATTGACTTGTAGTGTACATTGAACCTTTGAAATTTTGTTTCAACGCACTCACCCACTTTTGGCGCTACTTCATCTTTTGATTTGTGACTATCCTGTACGTACTAGGTTCGTTCTGTCGTTGTGCTTTCATTCAGCGCACTCTTCGAGTCTACCACCAGTCGAGTCAGCAGAGAAGTTGTATGAAACCTTCATTTATTAAATTCGATATTTCATTTGTGTAAAATACAACTCCGTCCCAGACACAGTTCCCATCTCAAGTCTTTTTACTTTGATTTCGTTCGTCAGTACTCACACGCTAGGTAGAGTACTGCTAAGGTTATAAAGCGGTGAAGCTTTTAGCAAGTGTGGTTATTTTGAGATCTAGCTTAAGTTTAGCCTAACACTTACAAACTCTCAACAGGCACTGGTTCCACCCTCAAGAGTTGAATTCTCTTCTATTTAATAAATGAAAGAAGAAAGAAAATGAAAAACATCTTTGGCTTCCACTCAAACTAACCTTATTTGCAACAAATTTGCCTTTATGTTTCCGCCAACTATCTTGATATCTTTTCATCTTTTCAACTGTATTTGCATATGCTTTAGCAATTTGTTGAACCAGGTCAGCTATTTCACTGGACTTAGCAATTTCTTCATAGAATGTGAAATAGTACAATTCTTCACTGCTATCAATTTTAACGCCTGGAGCTGTTACACATGAACCACGTGACCATCTAACAAAAACCCGGGTTGATTCAATCGCATCACGTAATTCCTTAATGATAGGCAGAAAGTAAAATACAGTGTGAAAACCAGTAAAAATTCATGGAACACATAGGAGTAAGTAATTCAGTAGCTATTAGAGTGGTAGGAATGTAAAAGAAAGTGTTTTCCAACCCTTGTATTGTTAGTGGGACGTAGGGATTAAAGTTGTGAAGTTCCAGTAGCACTGATGTAATTTTCACGGGATAAGTTTGCTAGCCTCACTCCCAGCCCTGCTGATGTCTATTAAACTGGGAGTTTTGAGAGTGTGTCGGAAGGGAATTGAAACCGGACATCCTGAGTGGTCAACAAGCATTTTACTGTTGAACCACTGGCGCCATAACAATAGTAGATACGTAAAAGAAGCGTTGTGGTTTAACTTGATGCATTTTTCTCTTCGACTGATAAATACTGAGATAATCAGATACATCACTGAGAGGAAACCGTGAGTATGAAAGTTTACTCAGACTTTTATAACTGTTACTGGTAACGAACGAGTTTTGCTTGCAAATCTAAATTTACTTTCCAATCTGAAATATTTAAAACTCATCACTTCAAGTGGGGGTTAGTTAACCAACACACCGACAACCGGAAATTAATTCGTGTGCTATATTAGCATATCGATTCTTTAAAGTTTGAGTTTTTAAGCACTTTAATTCACTCCAGTTTACATTTCGTCAAGAATGAACACTGATCAGGAAATCATAGGAAACAAAGGACCACATGACTGCCTCAGGCTCTTCGCAAGTGCTCACCGACCATAGTGATCACCTACAACCGCATCAGATATTAAACTCAGGACATCCGGTCCAGGAGGTGAGCTAGTTTACTATTCAGTCAGTGGGTTTGAATTCAATGACCCATGAATTCCGACTTCTGTTAATTTTTTATCTGTCGTCAATGTCTTTCTAAATGACGTCAGTTGGTGATGAAAACTACACTGGTATCCACTTTTTGTCACGACTTTATGTACATTAAAATAATTATGATGATTAACGAATTTCAGGCCTCATTTTTGTTATCATATAACACCTCATATTTTTAATGAAGGATGTTACAGAAGTGATAGGATCCCGCATAAAATAGTATATCATCCTTTCTCACGTATATTGTGATTCGTTGTAAAATCAATCATTTCTCACTGTTGTGAGCCTACTTTATGTTGTCGTAAAGAAACTCCATAAATATCATGTGTCCTTTCAATAATAAATGTACAGTACAGTATCTTACAGTTACAGGCCAGCCTTTGTCTTTTGATATTTGCGTGGCTCAGTGAATCGGAAGGTACAGCGGACAAATATGCATATTAGCGTACCAATCGAGTTCATTATCGTTATAACAACTAGCGGGCGCAGATATAACAAGCCGACGACGGAGTTTATTCAGTTCAGTGCAGATATAAAAAGAGGAGTTTATGGTATTAAAGCCTTTCTATATAACTTTTCAGAGAGTAAGTGCTTTTCCTACTGGCTAAATAAACCCCAAAAATTAACATCGCTTGCTGCAAAATAGTTTCTTTTCAACTATAAACTATAAAACACACTCGTTGGATGATGAAGAAGCCCGAAGATAATCCAAGTTTCAATAAATTCAAATGAGAAATCCATTTGCCAATATAACCAGCACAATCGGGTATAGTTTACAGATTTTTAAGTTTCTACCAGAATAAATATTATTTAAACGCTTTTATGTGATCTGATAGAAACATTCATCTGAGTACGATGACCACTATTTGTACCTGAGAGTCAATATATGTTGGCCAAGTTAACCAGTCAAATTCATCAAAAGAAGAGGAATCACAAAATAAAATCCCATTTTTAGACGTCTTAGTTAAGTGAACAACCACAAGGAAATTAGAAACTCAAGTCTATGGAAAATCAACTCACACAGACCAAATACTCAATTACAACAGCAACAATCCAATAACACACAAAAGAAATTTTATACGAGCACTATTCAAGCGAGCCAGGACTCATTGCAGCACTCCCACCTTAAGGAAAGTTGAAGAAAAATATCTCATGGATGTCTTGCAAAAGAATGGATATCCATGAAATTTTATCAAAAGACATATACCCCCAAGCCAACCGACCAAATCAAAGGCCCCCACGGAAAGCACAAAGAAAATTACACTATCATATATAAAAGACAACATCTCAGAAATCACTGCAAGACTCTTCAAATCCTTAGGAATTTGTGTTGTACACAAACCAACAAAATCACTTCACTCAGCTGGCCCTATGTTAACCAAAAGACTCAACAGAGAAAGAAGATAAAACCAACATCATCTGCAAGATAAATTGCAATGACTGCGAAAAACACTAAATTGGCCAAAGTGGACGTCCCCTTCGTCTTCGTATTCATGATCATAAACTAGCCGTAGAAGGACATGACATCCACTCCTTCATATCACTGCATACAGACAAACATGGACATCAATTCGACTGGGACAAAGTTCAAATATTAGACCGAGGAAACACCGAGAATGCCAGAGAATTTTAAGCAGCTTGGTATTCCAGTGAATCGTCAATTAATAGACACATTGACAACGACAAAATTCACCAACCGATAAGAAGAAAATCTCATACACAAATGGTCAAACTTCAGGTCAGGGAAACAATACAAGTAGACTAGAGAGTGTAAAAACACACAAAAACAGCCAGTCACGTTGAAGGTCTCCCGGAAGAGATGACTAATAAACTCGTGGAGAAATCTAAAAGCTCACTTCAAATTGAAGTATGCGCTGAAGATGTTTCCTAGTAAGGCAATAAAAGCTTCGGAAATAAACCATCTAGCTCAGAGGACACAACTAAAGATGAAGAAATTTCTTTCATCTCCACTTCTTAAGTAGAGGAAGCAAATATCCAAACAAATGAGCGTTTTCTCGTCATGGAAACAAGGATTCTCACCAAAATTTCAAAAAGTCACGTAAGGTAGCAGCTAGTATTGGTTTGTAGGGAACCTCAACATTATTACTATTCTTTATTCAAGATTCTCACTAGAATTTGAAATATGTTATTGATTATGTGGAGTAAAATGGTTTTTACTTGATGTATACAGATATATCCTTCAAAAAATATAACATAAACAGACATGGACTGGACATTATCTTCATTTCACCAGTTTTGTTCTTATCCAGTATAAACGTTCCCTAGTGAAATGTTTGTTTTCAAGGGCCTGTAAAATATGCACGAGCGGCAAATTGATGGATGAGCTTCGACGTATACATTCAAATTTATTAGCTAATGGTTATCCAGAAAACTTTATCATTTGCCGCAGTATGGACAGACCACATCTTGAAAAGACAGCTTCTGTACCAACGAAAGTAATTTTTATTAACTTACCATTCAAGGGTGATCAAATTATGCAGTTGACAGCTCAAAGAATTCGGTGATCTGTCAAGCACACATTCTACGCCGCATCTATTTCCCTCACATCTCGAACACTTTCGATCCCTGTACCTACGATTAAAGGACGAAATTATGTGAACTATACTTCAAACTGTATCTACAAGTTCACCTGCAGTTGCGGTGACACACACCTATATAGGTAGAACCAACAGAATGTTCCAACGTAGTCGAAAGGAATATGTTCCAAGATGGTTATTAAAACATATAGAAAATCCCAATGTGATTAATCTCAATAGAAATCCATCATCATTTATTGCGAAGCACTTATTAATGTCGGGTCACAAAATCAATATTAATCACTGCTTCATAATTATTTCACATAACTCTAATTCAAGGTTGGTTATTAAAGGTGATGGAAGCACTGCGGATTAATCATATACAGCCTAAACTGTGTGTTCAAAAAACATAACAGACTTCAATCTTCGCCTACCATAGACTATCTGACCTATTTAAATATGACTGATCATTAAAGCGTACTTTTGTTGTATATAACTGAGTAATTGCCATACCTTTTATTGTGAACTATGCTAGTTGTAAAGCGACTGTACCGAAACTACGAAACGATATCACCTGGTGAAATTTGTCTTCTCAACGCCTTATTCAAATTAACTGTTGAGTTTTATCAATTCATGTTACTACAGAGTTTCAGTTGGAGATGGAAGTCATTTAGTAAATGTGTGCATTTATACTTCTAAATCACCGATTCCAAAATAGTTGAATACAAACATACCTGAATAACTAATCGATATAGTTCAGCTGGTTGTGGATTTCCGACAACATCTGTACCAGCTAGCATAAGATCAACTGCAAACAATGGTTCTTGTGGACGAGAAATACGATTTAGATATGTTTGAAGATTTCTAATCACCATCTAAAGGATCCATGGTGAAGTAAAATTAGGTGAATTAGAAGAAACTAACTTATTTACAGAATTATATATATATATATATATATATAATTAAAAGCGGTTATGATACCTGTGGAACAATGAATATTAAAACAATTTCTGTTATGTTTTACATTACATTCGATAGTACTGGAAGAATGTTTGAATGAAGGGTATAAATTATAAGAAATAATGATAATAATTGTAATGATAGGCAAAGAAAAAGAAAAAACAACCAAAAGGGATGAGGGGAAAACGTACTATTGGTGAGAAGAAGAAATTTCAATCTGAGTTTGGCCACAGTAGGAAGAGCACCGGAATGTGTTCTTTTAGAATACAAAGTTTCAGTCTAGTCTATCTTATTGCAACAGCTTCAGGTATAAATGGTAGACGTAAGTAAACTGTATGTGATAAAAACTTCGGAATTTGGTATGCAAAGCTGAAGGCTGTGTTGACGTCGATGAGATCAAATGTGATAGAATCGAGATTTTCATGCATTTGATTTGCTCGTTGTTGAAACAATCTGGTCACTGCTGTCGAACCTATGGATGAACCTGCCTAATCGTACGCCTTATAAAACTTCAACTAAACGAACAGCTGAAGCTTAGGAGTTTAATTTAAAAATACACAATTACTTAACAGAGGAGAGTTTAGATAACCTCATTTTATGCATGTAGCCGAAAAGAACACATCAAATATTTTTCAATTCTGTGTTGATGTTTATTATCTACAAGTTAAGTGAACCGAGATGTCTTCACCAAGCTTGTCTGTCTTCTATCCAGTTAACAATATTTCTCAGAGTTCAAACATGATTCTTTCTATTCGATAATGAATGCTTCCACAGTAAAATACCACTGTTTCCGGATCAGATAAACTACTGATTAATTTGAACTGTAAAAATCCCCTCACATCAAACAATTGTGCTCACCATATACATTGAAGTGACCTAAAAAGATGGTGA